AGACCTAGAAGCACCTCAAATCTTATTAAATACATTGTAAAAACTTTTATCCTCTACATATACTTCAGAAATTCGTAATCGTTAAAAAAAAATAAAACTTCAAGTCAAGCGCACTTTTACGACAATTAAAATTCAATCCAGGAACCCAGGAATGTTATTTTAACCAAAATAGTTTTTTTGCAGCAATATAGTTGACGAATACTTTTTGTTTAACCCAAAATGCTTCTATTTCAAAAATTCTTTAGTGAATTTTAAAAAGTTTGAATGAAATAATACAACTAATATTTTTATTTCGTCTATCACTTTTAAACTATTTAACAACATTAACTAATTATATATTTCATTCATATCACTGAACTAATAAACTATTCATTTGTAATACTACATACTCCATAGAAGTTTCAAAATTTGTGAAACTATCTAATTGCAGTTAGTTCAGTTGCTAAATATGAACAAATAAACTGATTCCCATAAAACTTCTAAATGTATTTGCTTACTTAATTCACAGTTCATGAAAACTTTTTACAAAAACATTTGTTCATTTCTTTTATGTGCCCCTAAAATAAAAAGATCCATCATTTCACCCAATAAAAATTGATGGCCCTCCATGATAGCAAGTGGTGCGACGCTAATAAATCACAGATATACGAATTCGATTGTCTGAATTACTTGTTGAAAATTAATTTAATGACTCCAAAAATGTCTAACCTAAACATACATTCGTTTGTCATTATTATTGGGTGTGAGTTGATCGTCGTCATTTCACACATCGAAAGTTAAAAATAATTTATAACAAATACAATAAATAAATAAATAAATAAATAAAACGTGTCTATGCCTGTGTATAAAAGCAAATATTGAAATAGTCTAAAACTTTATCTAAATAATATTGTTTTTAAATTATTTAATTGTATAATATTCTGTATTTATGAACTTACATTTATATCAATCACTTTAATTTTTTTTTAATGTACTATACTTAAATAGCTTTACTATTATTTCAATTTATGGTAATATGAGCTATCATTAAAAAAATTGGAACATTTATTTCGACTTGATAAAGTATCTACAAACATGTTAAAGAAACCTACTGTTCAGTTTACTAAATAAAAATAAACAATTTAATACTTACTCTGTGTGGAACTGTATATCTTTTATGTATATATGTATATGTATATCTTTTATTTTCGATTTTCACACAATAGAGGGAATTATTATTATTAATATTATATAATAAATCTTAACACAATCATACACAATAAACTTTAGGCATACACCTAGTGTTTTCTTATTATTTATACCCACCTATTTTAAACATATGTTGTAGGTGATATTTGACATATTTCTTAATAAATTGTACTTATGGTTTTACCTTGCTTCATTAAATAAATTTGCTATTCATTGAATAGCAAAGTAGTGCTATTGCAAAATGCTGTAAACTCTATACCATATTTACCTATAGCAGATACCACATGGAATTGTCACACATCCTTATTGGAAATGGTAACAGGGATTACTCCTAGGCATTTTTTAATAAAAGAAACTATACCATTAGAGTTGCAACTGCATTGAATGTATTCTAATATCTAGATACATTAAAAATTGACAGTCTCAGCGTAGATTTTAATTAAATATTGTTATACTTCGCATTTCCCAAAAATGCCAACATTATCATATATTCGAATAGTCAAATTCCTTAACCGACAAATTTAAATTATTTAGAAACTACAAAAATTTCTTCTAAATTAGCTACTACAAATATATGAATACTCGTCAACTGACAAGCTTGCTAAGTAAGGTGCCCTAACTCTCTTCATGAGACCCAAAATGTATTGCAAGATATCCTCTTATCAGACTGCATCAGTACTTAGAAACATCGAGCTTGATTAGACGAATTTACGAGAATGACATGACATCAATCTAATTATATCTGAACTCTGATTAATCAGTGGTTTTGTTTCTACAAATGTCTGTATTTGGGAACGTTAAGTGAAACTTCCGGGCATCTTTTCTGATCGTATTTTAGGATTGCCCGAAATCGAGTTCAGTATCTTCTTTGGACTTTCATTGAACCTAATGACTTCTGGGATATTGAACTGAGGGACATGAGGTTTTAAGAACACTGCTGTCTTAAATTGTTCAGGTATCTGTAAGATACTCTCTCGATGGATATCATTCATTATCCCTCTTGATAATTAAGATTGCTCTGCACCGCAATAAATATATGTTTCTATCTATATATATCTTTTGATAAATATCAAAAGATAAAATGACATACAAATACTATACTAACAACTTTAAATACGGCAGATTATTGAAAACTCAATCCTCATTTATATAAGAGAACAGCACTCGTTGTCTGCAATTAGCTTTTGATGCACTGGTGGTTTTAAAATCAACTAAGGAGACAGAACTATAATTACCTTTTAATTCGAACAACTTTATAAACCGCAGGTTTATTGCAATAAATTGTAATAGGCTATTATAATTTTTTAATTCTTAAAGCTTAAAAACTATTGTTTTCATTGTCGGTTTTATATATGTATGCGCATATATATACGCTTGTATAAATATAAGTAAATATCAAGTTCTCTAAAAAGTAAATTTATTATTGTTAATGTCATTTTATTAAAAATTTTAATAAAAAATTGAGTACATTTTATACATAAATGTGACAAAATTCACATTTAATTAATTGGTTTCAAGTTCATAATTTTTGTTTTAACTTAAACCCTTGGAAGTTTTGTTTAAACTCCGACAAAATGGTGAGTAGCAGTTAATCATTAACGTTGTCGAGTGGTTGTAGGACGTAGGTGCATCGACACTTTAAATACTTCTATTTTTATAAAGTGGAACAGTTTCAGAAATTTTGATTATTATTTAACTGATAGAATTTCAATAATTTATTCTTAAATTATAAAATAATTTTTTGATTTGTTTTAAAATCAAAGTAATTCACAATAATTTGGTCGTGTGGCGTTAACAATGACATATGAAATCATTCCATACCAGAAGCACGAAAAGAATTGTAATGGAAGAAAATAATATATAAAACACACTTAAATGCGTAAGAAGATTTAGTAACCAAGTAACCAATTGTATCATGACTTCTATGTTATGCTATGCCTATTATTATCGGTTGCTCCAGCAACTTTTTATTCCATTATTCTGTGCTAATTATGTGTGCTTTGTGAGCCAATCTGAGAAGCTTTACATCCTCTTATCATATATTATTGCTTTTAATGTCACAAATGCCACAAACAACTGATAATACACCATACATTATCGGTGCCAATGAAATGCTCTTCGGCAATAGATATCCACCCTTCATGGTTTATGTGTGCATATGTCGTAAGCTTATGCTATATATGCATATACTTATACAATTTTTACTGCGTTGGCTGGTAATCACCTTTGGGCATATTTTATTGACATTTTCAAATGCACCCACATCAGTATATAAATCAATTTGTGCCCATATAATATATACATACGGTATACACATTTAAGAGGAAGTAGTATGTCTAATTGTAAAATATTGTATCTAAACCTTGTTTACTCGACTCGTTTGTTGGCCCGTGTTGACATATTTTGAACTACTCGTATACGCACTCACTCCAAATTTAAGCCAGCCAGCACAACTAAATTGTTAATGGTAAATAGGTTCTGATAGACTCATATAAGTATGTGCGAGTATATACAATATTTGAATATTAAGGCATTTTCTTGCTCTTTTATTCTCCCGCAGCCCGCATTAATTTGGTAAACGATTTTATCGATTTTATTTCACAAATAAAGTATTTGTTTTTATTTTTCGTATTTTTCTTATTAATGTGTTTTTCTAACATTTTTTATACTCTTTGAGTTCTGTTTTTAATGCGCCCATCGTATTTGTCGCCTTGGTCGGTTTGTGTCTGCTATTTTACGTAGGTAATTATTTGTGTGTTTTTATCCTACTAATGATGTCTCCTTCAAATACTCAAAATACCGATATGTTTCATTGCAGAAGACATTTAAATTATGCGTCTACCAGAACATTCATCGTATTCTCATAATCCTCTTAACGAGCCAATTGTATTAAAGTGGTTTTAAAGTGCTTTGCGCTTTTCCTGAAGTGGTAATTTGGTAATTATTTTTCAATTGACACGCTTCTGTCATTACATTGTGCATCGATTCATTCGTCTTTACCGTCACTCTCCTCCCTGCTGCTACTCATAAATTTTATGGTCGAATTATAATAAAAAAATTATTCCATAAAATTATGTCAATAGAGATATTAATATAATTAGATATAGTATTCTAATATGATATTCTTAATTGGTGTTATGAAATCAAAGGCTATTGTATTAAATAGCCACTACTATTATATACAGGGTCACTCAATTGAACTACAACCAAGTTTAAGTGCTTTTAATTTCGAGTTGGCAACACTGTTTATTTCGTATAAATATTTCGGCAGCATAAAGGACAGCCTGTTAAAGCATTTGTGTTCGTTTTTTTTATACTCAAGTGTTATAATATGTAATAAATTCAGCGCATCCTTATTATTCTTATCGTCATTAAATTAATCATTATTATTCTAATATGATCATAGTCCTATTCGTTGTTCACAAATTCTCTTCATTATAGTTGCAAAAAAATATTTTTAAAGAGAAGACAAGATTTTTAAAGGAATTATAAGACGAATATATGGGTTAGGATGTGGATGGATGGGTATTGGTTGTGTGAGAGGGAAAGGAATTATTTATGAATGAAAATGGATTAGGCGATGGGTGAAGATTCGTCATCTTCAACTATAGTTGTAAAAAATATTTTTAAAAGACCACACGTATGCGTTCAAAGCTAATAATTCTCGTGTTAATTTTTTATTATACACCCAAGCTTATTCAATAAGGTATTTTTGCAGATATAAATATTATTTAAATATTAAAATTGTAAAAATAAAAATTATTTTATATAAATAATTTTATTAAATAATCTATATTTTTATTTCGTTTTAGGTATAGTATGCCACTGAACAATATCAATATAATGCCATATAAATTTCTTAAATTGTACACTGAAAAATGGAAACAATATCCAAGATCTCCTTGATATTGGTTCTATTCGTAACTGTTGATTGTTTTTTGTATGTATGTGCAGTTACGGCTCCACAATATGTTTACACTACGACACCAAATATAAATATAAAACAGCAGCTTAGCAACACCGCCACAATTAGCTCCCTTACAACATCATGTGAGTCTTCAATCACAACTGAAGAACCTCATACCCATCATCATCATGTTGAGCCGAAGAATGATTATGGCATATCATTGCTTGGACTTAAATTTCATATACCATTCGTGGGTGGTTCGTCGTCAGTAACAACCACTTCAAGTGCTAGTGCCGAAGATGACAAAATCAAGGAACCGTCAAATAGTTTTAAATTGCGTTGTGATAATGCCAGCATCGCAGATATTAATGAAGAATTATTATCGAAGAAATATATAAACTATGCGCATATTGAGCTTTATCATTGCGTTGTCAAATCTCCAACTCAATTGCAATTGCAGCAGTACGAAAGCATTAAGTATTTAACTTGGCTACAAAGTAATATAGATGATAGGCAACTTATGCAGCTATTCAGCAATTATGAGCATAATTTCGAATATCTGGAATCTCTCGATTTAACAACCAACCAAATTGGATGCATACAATGGGCTAAGTCTCAAGTTGTACGTCGCCTTAAAGTACTTAAGCTGACAGACAATGCTCTCAATTCGCAACAATGTGCATTCTTGGAAACTCAGCATATGAATCACTTGGTTGAATTGCGATTAGACCAAAATCGTATATTTGAATTAAAGAACAATTTATTAAGTCACTTAAGTGAACTTAAAGTTCTTAATCTAACACATAATTTATTACGCGATTTACCACGCAACGTGTTTGATGGAGCACTAAAGTTACAATACCTCTATTTGGCACATAATGGCCTAACAATATTGCCTTTCCAACTGTTTCAAAGCATGCGAGATCTACAAACACTTGATTTGTCAAATAATCGTTTACTGTCATTTCCGGATAATTTCTTTGCCTTGAATATGAATATACAAGAATTGTTCTTGCAAAGAAATGCACTTCAAAATATTGGCAAGAACACCTTTCACAATTTGCGAAAACTGCGTCATTTGGATTTATCACATAACGAAATTGCAACTATCGATCGTAAAGCGTTTGAATCGTTTGGGAATCTTCTGACACTGAATATATCGGCTAATAGTATTACAATTTGCTCTTCGATACTATTCCAGCCTCTCACCAATTTGAAACATTTAGACATTAGTCAAAATCTGTTTACACAACTGCCTGGTGGCATTTTTATGGCGCAGCGTTCTTTAATTGTACTACGTATTGATAGCACATCAATTCAAAAATTCGGCAATTGGATATCTCGCAATGATGAACATGTCGACCCACAAGTATTACAGAATCTTCAATTTTTATCTATACAAAATAATAAAAACTTAGAACGCCTTACCAAGACAATGTTTTTGAATATTCCGAATTTGCGTGAGTTACTCTTGGCTGGTAATTCACTACATCTACTTCCAACAGAAATTAGTCATCTGTCACAGTTACAACGTCTTAATATAAGGGACAATAATTTAACCTTCATACCCGATGGTGTCAAGGACTTGAAACACTTGCAATATATAAATATATTAAATAATGATTACATATGTGATTGTCGTATGTATTGGTTAAGTTCATGGTTGATCAATACGAATTCCTCATTGCGCCAGTGGCGTAATGAGAACTTCGCATCAAGTGAAGTGTATGTTACACCTGATTCTAGTGAAGATATAGAGGAACTGATTTCATCATTGAAGTGTCATCATGGCTACCCAGGTGATATGTTGTCTATATTGCAAAGTCTAAACTGCACCAAGCCAACCATTATCCCACCCAAATCTAAAATGCATCTTTTACATTCAACTGCTACTTTAGAATGCGCCTTTTCAGGCAGTCCATCGCCTGATGTTATATGGGTAAGAAATATAATATGTTAAGCAACAAATAACTTTTATATTTTAAAAATAATTTGTTCTCATTGGCAGGTTACTCCTACTAATAAAATTTTACGTCATCATGCTGATCCGGATAAACGTCCGATTATTATAAACCATAACGATAAGGAATTAGGAAAATTCCGCTTAACATCTCTTACGGATGATAGTATACTGAATATTAGCTTGCAACGCAATGATATCGAAAATCGCGTGGCCCTTGTTGAGAATGGTTCACTGTTAGTTCACAATATATCGCGCTCTGACAGTGGCTTGTATACTTGTTATGTGTACAATGTTATGGGTAATGCGTCAGCATTTATAAGGTAATCAAAATTAAAAACAAAATACATTTAATAAATACTTTAGATATATTTATTAGATATACATATATAAAAAGTATGTTATTTTGTTTCATAAATAGACTGGATATCGATCCCATTGTTTTCTATCGTGTCAAAATTGAAAGTCTAATATCTGGGGCTGCTGCAGCTACTGCTTTCCTATTGCTAACGCTAATAGTGCAAGGCTTACGTGCACTATTTACTAAGTAATAAAAAACATTAGCTATTTGATTGTTCCATTATTTTTAGTTTATTTAATAGGTTTGGCATATGTGAAAAGTTTTACTGCTGCGCACGTAATAAGAAGTCGCCGCGAGCTCGTCAGATATATGCAATGCTTGATAGCATCGAAAGCTATAAGAGTCAGCAATTGGAACGATTGCGAGAAAATTATGCACAGCAGGTATTAATAAAAAATTATTTCGTATTTATTGTAATTTATCTGTTTATTTATTATGATTTTATTTCGTATATTTTTTAGGTGCATCGAATTCGTGAAAATTGTGCTCAGCAAGTTGAATGGATACAAAACAGTTATACAACACAAGCTAAGCATTTGAAAGAGTTTCGTGATATGGGCTCGAGTCATTTAACGTCGCTTAAGGATCAATATTACGATCAGGTCGGTCATTTTTAATTCAAATATATGTAAATGAAATATTTATTTTTACTGTTTGTTTATTTGCATCTTTTATAGGTAAAAAAGGTTCGTGATTATTCCACTGGGCAATTAAATTGGGTGCGTGAAAATTACGTCTTCCAAAGAAACAAAATTCGTAAATTTAGCGCACATCAAGTACTCCGACTTCGTGAGGGATATAAATACCAACAACAGACTTTGAATAAAGTATTAGAAAATTTGCCCAGCTTTTATTTCGAAAACTGTCGCGGTCGATGTGAGGAGGACATTGTTGAAGGTTTGTCAATTTTATTTCCTTTATAAAATATAATAACAATAAAAGAAAAAATTAGCTGAAATCACCCGATTGCTAGGTTTGCAAGTGCTATGAATGTAATTTTCCGCATCAGCTTTACAAAAACTGCTATAATTTAATAGTTCTTCCAATAAAAAGGTTCTAATTCTAATTTTCTTCGACATAATTTTTATTGTTTTATTTAATGTTGCTGAAACAAAGTATCTTTATTAGAATTTGGAAAACGACGGCGGTAATCGTTAACAATTTTTAATATGTACTGTTTTTGGATCGCATTTTTGGTAAAATTGATTTATAGTCCAACATTAGTTTCAGTCCTCGCTCTGCCGTATCATTTACTACTTTTAAGCTTAAAAGCGTTTTCTTAGCTTTCATAAAATTAAGGTCTGCATACTATTTTGTGGGACATATTTTTATGAAGTCATCGCACAACTTGAAACGAATAAAAATGTTTTTAGTATGTTTGTATACAAACCAGTGAACGAAAATAAACAGTACAGTATCGTAGTGTACTGATCATGTCCGAAACACATCAAAAAATTTTTAAAGTTTGTGTCCGCGAACACAAACTTTATTTTTAGAGTTTGTGTACTTTTCACGAAGGTAGTCTTTTATTTTATTTATTATTATTGCCTTTTATTAGCATTATAAATATAATACGAATCATTCAATCGCAATAAAATATTAAATATATGTAATTCATCCCCTAATATTAAATATGCATCAATAAATGCATACGCAATATCTTTATTTAAAAACACAAACAAAATACATGCAATACAAATGCAAACAAAAATTTTTCTTCTTCTCATGCAAACGATGTTTTCTCATGCAATTAAAATCGTTTCCAAGTCGTTTTGTTCGACAAACGCTAAAAAAACCACTACCTTAGGAAAATGATCACTAAAAAGTACACTACCTTCGGCAAACGATAACTAAAATGAGCACTACCTTCGTGAAAAGATCGTTATAAAGAGCACTACCTTCGTGAAAAGTACACAAACTCTAAGAATTGTTGAATTGTTTCGGACTATTTTTAATGTACTGTTCGTTTAGTGTTTTTTAACAAAGATGACAAACAGTACACTATGTTTTGTACTTTAGTGTTTGTTTTCGCTCACTGATACAAACTGTTCAATTCCCTTTTCGACGATTTCAGTTATTTTTACGCGATCTATTAATACTCTCCTGTCAACCGATTTTTCGAAAAAAAAATTGCCCATAGATCTTAATGGCACCCTATTATATATATTTCAATTTTCCTCCAAAATTTAAATATGGATACAACTGTTATATGAGAAGTTTTAATACCCTTGTAAATTAAGCTCTTGTTTATGTGTATAGTGGGTCACGATTGGGTTGGATTTCAAAAACGAGTACGCACATAACTACTGTACAAAGTAACTATTATTACTTAAGATACTGATTTTAAATTTTGACAAAAACTTGAAATGTTGTTAAATTTTTGCAATAACCATACCTCACTTTTATTTTTGTTTATTTTAATTTTTAAATATTATAATGATTTAAATAAGTTTTTTCTTCTTGTGTTTCAGATATTGATTTTTATTTTAAAACTCAGTTAGGAGACCAATTTAATCCCAAAGATGCAAATCTACAGAAATTGAAAGGAAAATTAATGGCCAATAATTCGGCTAGTAAAGCTTCAATTTATTACACACCACCGGAAGATGATCTACGACGATCCCATTTAAATTTACAAACCTCTCCAATTCATATTAATTATATTAATGAGAATTTAGATCATAAAAAATTTGAACTAAATGATTTCAAGTTAAACACTGAATTGCTATTAAATATGCCACATAGAATTGATTCGGCATCAAGCAACACGCAACTATCAAAGGCTGATATCACCCTTAGTCAATTGAAAATTTTAGAAAAACATCCAGCAGGTACTGGCAGCATTGAAGATAATCACGCAGCTGCATTAGTAGATAAAATAATAAACGTTAAACGTAAAGAGTTAACAAAAATTAAAGGCTTGCCTGGAGAGATTACTATTAATAATAGCCAAGAAATAAATGAGAGTAGCATTGAAATGAATGAATTACATGAAAGTAAAGATACAAATGATATTAAAAATTCCAAATCATGTCCTGCCATTTATAAAGTATCCCGTCAGCAAGATGGCTCAACACTACATGAATTATTAACAGATGATTTAAAAAATGGTAATTCGAATACCACACGTTTAAATTTGGTTAATGATCCACATATATTAGAAACCGAATTATTTAATATGGAAACAAATACAAATTGTAATACCAATGCATCTGACTCGTCTAAAGCTCAGCATAAACCAGTTTGCAAGGAAAAGCTTAATATTATACTTGATGAGAGCGGCAAGTCAACACTTTATAACATCGCCGAGGTAAACGCTAATTCAACTGGCGCAAAGAAGAAGGACAAAAGGTATGCCTCGTCTTCGACGGTAGCATCAGCAGCATCATTACAAAGTAGCATTAGTGTACCAGAAATAACGCCTAAGAATAACATTGAATCTAAACAAAAATATGCGTCAAATACTGCAACGTCTCCAACGGAAAGTATAAGTGATAACAACAGCCGCAACTCTGGCAACATTATCTGCGATAATAAGGAGAGTAGTATAGAAATAACAAATATATCTTAGAGATATTTTAACCAATTTAATATTTAAATTATATTTATTGTATAACAAAATTACAGCAAAACAAAAACTTCTAAATTAACAAAAAAACGAGTGCAAGTAATTGAGGCCATATACCTACATAATTTCCATCATTTCAATCGTTTTCTTAAAAAACATAAGAGAAATTTTAAATAATAATTATAATTAATCAGAAAAGCTATTCTATGTTTGAAAAGTTCGTAGATATTCGGGTTTTATAATTAATTTAAGCTCAATTGTAATTTTATGTGGTGGCACTCAAATCATCTGTTTTAAACGTTCTGAAAGCTAAAATAATTAAATAGATTTATGAATCACTGTTAACAATGAAACCTTCGCGAGAGATATAAGAATTTGACTTAAAAAAAAAATTAAGCATAAGAATTGTTTAAATAATTAACGAAACTTTTAAAAGACTCATAATTAAACAAACATACATATTCATACAATACATAATTAATTATATCATATATATTAACACTTACAGTTCTTAAAAATTCTATCCTATTTTGTGACTATTTAATTAATTTCATTTTTTTAGTTTTAAAAACATTATTTTAATTTTAAATTTTTAAAACAAAAGTAAATATATAAGCAAATTTAAAATAAAACTTTCAATACAAAAAAGCAGTGTTTTGAGCATAAATAATTCTTCTCATTTATTTCTATAGCAGATATTAATTCAATAATTAACATGATCGATAACTTTACACCAAACATGTATAACACTTGTGTTATCCATTTGAATTGTAATACTTGGTTCCCTAATTTCATATTCGAATGTTTAATTATGCTGATCTTTCTTCCAAAAAACAAAAAATGTTGAAAATTAACAAAATACTTAATAATACAGTTTATTGAATTTATCTATACGATTTTAATTTGAAGGTAGTTTTTTGACGAAACATTGTATCATGGAAGTGTGCATACTCTTCAGTCAGAGTCATCAATATTTGAATACTCTTTCGGTATATTATTTCAATATAAAGTATTTAATCCAGTATAAAGCCATCGATCGCATATTTGTAAAATCTATTTTTTCTTGAAAACTAACACCAAACTTGATATTATAACAAAAACATCATAAAAAGAGGAATGCAAAGCTGAATTTGAGCAAATTGCTATAGAATAAAACGGATATATTCAGCAAGTATTTCAGTTTACAATTTTCTGGAGTGTCTCGAAATATGCTCTTTCAACATTCCACTTACCCTACCCGTCTTGTCCTTTCACATTCGCTTGCGATCAATTTGTTCGCTCTGTTTCTTAGTCTTTAGTTTAGTCAGAAGAAGCAGACAAATTTTTGAACACGGACAGGCCTATCGATAGCCTAGAGCAGGGCTGTCCAGACCAGATAAGATCGCGGACCAATACAAATCACTGAATAGGTTGGAGTGCCGCAGAAATAAATACATACATTCAAAATTTTTCTAAAGAATAATAAAAATTCGGTGATAATATTAAATTTAGTTTTGTTAGATCTTCATTAAATTATCTTTTACAATTCTATCAATATCAGCATTATAAATGTTAGTTGTTGCTATATTTTATTTTAATGTAAAAACTTACGCCACTGGATACGACTTTTTTGAGCCTGTTGTACAAATAAATATACACTAAAGTTTTTGTTAATTAAGTAAATTAACGTGGATTGTATTATATTATTTAATGTATTTTAATTCATTTATTTGCGATACCATAAAAAAAATAATGTTATGTGACTCAAACATAAAAAAACAAATTTGCCTAATTGGACAGCCCTAGCCTAAAGTAATGAACTTTCAAATTCAAGTTTTAGGTAGTTAGTGACGTAGTTTAACAAGAAACATGCTATCTCCTTGAATACTTCCCTGTCTAAGACTGTGAGACGGAATGTTTTTCACCGTAGAGAATATTTTTAAAATGAACTCGGCTTGTAGACATTGAAACCCCCATTTGATTCAGTTGATGCCTCTTGTAGAAGGTATCTTTAGGATTGCTTGGAAGAGATAATTTTTGCCCCCGGTAAATACTAGGTTTGAACTCATATCAATTATTATGATAGTCCATATATTTCAATAAAGTAAACGTGGTGAACTGTATTAAAGAGGTGGAGAGAAATAGTTTCCTTTGCCTTTTAGGTCATTTCACGATACGGTCTTTTCTAAAAAGTGAATTTAGAGCACTAGAAAAAGAGATTAGAAAAAGGTGTTTAGGAATCCTCATTAGCCAACTTAAGACGATATCAGAAAGAACCATTCTATGTCTCTTCTAAGAAGGGTGCGAATAGTCAGGATCAGTATCTTCTCTAATGCTTTACTCATAATATTTTTAAGTTAGCGAATATAGTATGAATTCATATTTTTCAGGTCATCATATTCTTTCAGCACTCTGACATAAGCTTGTTTCAATACTCTATCGACCGGCGCAACCACCCTTTGCTCTAAGACAATGTATGTCAAAACTTTTGGGCCCCGTCTTATTCTTTTTTTCCGAGCGTAGTAGTGAGCTTGAAATGAACAGACATATTCTATTGTATAGGACCACAACGTCATCATGATCGCACTACACTGCAGTGTTAATTTTCTCTCTATTACAAAAACAAAAAACAATGTATCATGCCGGAATTTGAACCGACATATTGTTTTTTCTCTCAATCTCAATTTTTTGATTTGCATTGAAAACAACAACAATTTTACTCATGCCGTGCCCGAGACTATATAACATGGCTCTAAGGAAGTATACTTATTTTATACTTCATACTTCGGCTAATGGAACCTCTAGCATTTTGTTATATGAGTTTTGAATGAAAAGTGGTAGATATAGCTGCATATATGTATGTCGAGTTTAAAACAATAGTCTAAATATAACTTAACTGTTTTATTTCTATATTATATTCATTATTAATTAACCTCTTCATTATTAATTATTTTATATGATTCTTATACAACCTTACTACAACTTTTGTTTTTGAAATTTTTTAAATCAACCTTTTTAGCGTGTAAATAAGTCAATAAGAAATGTCAAATGCGACTAAAAAATACATACCTACATAAATGTATTGTTTTCGTGTTTTTATATTTCGTCGTCCCTCATTTCTATGAATTTAGCGCGAATATAAATCGACAAGAAATGTCAAAATCAGTACGTTTTTACATTTGCCTGCCTTTTGCTTCCATAAACGTCAGATAAGCTCACTGAAAGAATACTTGAAAAAGTGTTCTTTGGTTTCTATTTTGTCAGCTCTAAGCAGTATTCATAACGTGTGGTAATCCAATTAAATGTTGAATAGTAAGAAGAGTAAAATTTCCTGAGGGTATTAAAAAGTAGCTTTTAGCCATTGGGAGCATTACGTATTGCAGTGATAAGATGATAGGCGCGAATTCAGTTCTAACGTTGGCCGTAAACATTGGCATAGCAGCAATAAGCTATGTGATGACCATACGTATGATACCGAGATTCCGAGAAATGTTTATTAAAGCAAACCTCTACGGAAAAGATCTGTGCAAAAAGGATGAAAAAGTGGTGTAAGTATGCAGTTTATGAGACAGCATAAGATAATAACGGCTATACTTAATTTCAGCCCAGAATCCTTGGGTGTACTGATTGGTTGTGTATTCTTAGTTGCCATGTTTTTCTTTATACCAATTCCATTCACATTTGGAGATGCAGCTAGTGCAGAAGTAGCAACTACAGGCGGAAGGTCTGAGGTGTTTCCTTACAAGGAAGTGAGTTCTTTATCGTAACGATTTAGTTATATAATTTGTTAAAAGTTATTTAAAAAAATTAATCAATGAACTATGCTTTTATAATGAAAATATAATTAATCACATAAGTGTGATTCATTACACACATTTTGAACCGTTTACAAATTAGTTAACATGATTTATTTAAAATTCTTCAGTTTGTAGAATTGATTGCGGCATTGCTATCAATTTGTTGCATGATATTGTTGGGATTTGCTGATGACGTGTTAGATTTGCGTTGGCGGCACAAACTGTTGCTACCCACAATCGCTACTCTCCCGTTACTAATGGTGTACTATGTGAATTATAACTCTACCACAGTTATTATGCCAAAATTTGCCAGAATGTTTGTGGGTAACACATTGGATATAGGTGAATTAATTTCCATTCCATATGAAATTGATTTATAGAACTTTATACAATTGTAGGTATTTTTTATTATGTGTATATGGGAATGTTGGCTGTATTTTGCACTAATGCTATTAATATACTTGCTGGCATAAATGGTCTTGAAGTGGGACAATCTATTGTTATAGCTGGTTCAATATTACTATATAATACCTGTGAATTTTTACTGCAACATCAGTTGGATGCGCATTTATTTTCTATGTACTTAATGTTACCATTTTTAGCAGTGTCCTTAGCCTTATGGAAATATAATAGGTAAGTGCATAAAGAATTTACTTTATTTATAGATCCTAAAGTCAAAATTTAATTGAAAATATAGTTACTGAATAGTTACTGAATATCGTTGTTGAGGTTAAGCAGCACAACTATATTATATAGGAAATATTGTTGTTGTTAGTTTACTTTCTTACTGCATTTTAGTGGACACTCCAATACTTAAATATTTTTTCATTTATAATAGCTTAGCTGCGGTAAAATGATTTAATCGTTGCAATTACTCACGGAAGTAGTCAAAATTGATAAATGCCCTTTAATAGAAATGTCATTGGGTCTCTACGAATGCTAAACTAGTTGATGTGAAAAAGGATGTTTATCATTTTTTATAATCAATAAAAATGATGTTTATGTTGTATAATAAATTCTATTGTTGAGGATATGAAACTTTGAACAATAATATTATTAAATTTGTTCAAATTATCTACTGTAAAATTTTAAATTTAAAGTTGTCTGTCTGTCCTCGTTGTGGTATTTATAGGGCAATTAATAATTTTTTGAATTTATTGTATGAACAATGAATTTTCAAAGTTTGTCAGTTTACTAAGTTGGACACTTAAAAATTATTAAAATTCAAAATGATTATTGAATGAATAATATGTAATGCAATTCTTACACTTCAACATAAAATTATCCAACATTGTTTACAAATTTGTAAAAAATACATTAATTGTTATAGCTTTTCACACTTAAACGGTTCGAATAGTTAAAAAACTTTGCGTTTGTATGGAGGCCACAGACACAGTAAATGGCATCGTAATTTCAACTTGCACAAGAAATTGGGTAAAAAAGCCTCGGCAAAATGGGTGACATTTTCACTAGCTGTAGACTATAACTGTGATGCTATAATATTGCTTATTTGAACAAATTTGTTGAAAATTTGTTCAAATAATCCAACTGAATTCTTATATAAAATTAATATTACAGCAGCAGAGATAAAGAAATAGGTAAAATAATAGACATCACTGTAAGAATAACCGTAGAAGGTAAATATCACCTTAATACAGCTGATAAGGCGCTGTGAATTATATTAAATCCAAGCGGTATAATAACAATTAAAAACAAATTCCTATTCATCAAGCAAAAAGTGTTTCTTTATCAAGACAATACAGGTATATACTTTGCACACGTATGAACTAACGCCATGAAATACTCCCAATCCCACCATGTTCTCCAGAATAGAGTAAATAGTAAGTTTACAAACAAACAAGAAAGACAAACAAATTAAATTCCTTAATAAATCGTATAAAATAGCCGGTTTTAAAAATGATATATAAAATATAGACATCATATTGAGATATATTCAAAAGTTACTTACTTTTTATCAATCCACGTTTAGTCTTTAATACAAATTAAGTGATAAAAAGAAGTGTTAAGTTATGCAGTAAAATAATATCTGCATTTAACTTACTCTGCTCAGAACTGTTTGGTCAATGATATCATTTATGATCGCCTAGCAATGGACACGGAGAACAAGTGAACTAGCCTAGAGGATATGAATTAAAACTGTTCTCCTGATGTTAAATTCTAATGTTTAGATCAAGAAATCAGTGTCAAGCAATCCTTTGTATTTAATATCCATATAATGGTTTTAAATCCCATATAATGTAGTAACTGTGAAATGCAAAATTTGCTCCGATTTGCTGATATTTACACACTTGCGACATTTGCTGACCCTAAAGTGTCATCATATACATACATATATAAACAATAATATGTTAAATTTTTCATTTAATTGGCAATTAAAAATTATAATATTACATTTTATTATTATTTACTATAATAATATATTTATTATTCAAACAAAATTTTCTTAATATTTCAATTAAATTTTTAGTGGATAATTATAATTATAAAAGTGTTTAACTAACAAATGCTTTCAGTCGAAAATAGTAAATATTGCAGATTTATTACAAAAAGTAAAATTCAGTTAATTTTTTTCTAAATGTTTTAAACAAATTTAAATTTAAATTAACGAAATATTAATTTTTATTTCGCTTAAATGATTTCTTCAATTGATTGTTTAGACTACAAAAAATCATAAATAAATAAATGTAAACATTTAACAGTTTTGCTTTTAATCAAAAAATAATTATTTTAAATTATTTTTTCTTTTGTTTTTTATCACAGCATTTGTCATTTAGTTTCAAGAGAAAACCCCTATTTTCCAAAGTTTAAACTGGGCATATAGCCCATTTTTTGAGTGTGCTCTTGTGTTTTTAAAAGCGCAAACATATTAAAGAAATATAAAAAATATTTAAATTTTTGAATTTTTAAATTAGACAGCATAATAGATATAATTAAAATTATAAAAATATAGTTATATTAAAGTAAATTTTACTAATAAAAACTTTTTATAAATACATTACTTAATTATGGTTATTATAAATTTTAATTAATTATTATTAAATTTTTATTATCCTCAATTATATTTTAAATAACAAATTTATAACTTATCAATATTTGCTTTATAATACATATAATTCATTTATAATTAATAATTAGTAATTGTTAATTTTAATCTCATGATATGTGTTGGCTAAAAGCAAATTCATAATTTCCTTACGTTTCAACGTAATTACAAAGGTAAACGTTATTCTCAATATAAACAGGCACAATTATAATAAAGAATTTTCCGACTAATTTACATGTTAGACACATAGAATTACATATATTAGGGCGCTTTGTAGGGATAGGATAAGGAGACACTTATTTATAGTTAATATTTGGCATATAGTAGCATTAAATCAATATAGTATTGATAATATTTTTGTATCAATAAAATTACACAAAACAAAAAAAAACTCGACATCACACCACTCAGTAACTTTCGAACTATTTATGTCAGCCCCTAGCAAGGAACCACTTGTTCTTTAAGTAACGACACTGAAATCGGCATTTAATAATTGAAAAAAATTTTCAAAATAAATGCCGCGTTTGTTCACAGTTAATCTAAAACAACTCGTTGACGATTCTAAGAGTTGTTCGGAGTTATTTAAATATAAAAATAATGGTTTTTTGCATATTGGCTGAAACGTGGACATATTTTTATTCCAAAACGATTGTTAGTTACCATGGTCAAACTACATAAATCACATTTTGAAATGTTTGTAACTCCACCTTATTTAACTCCAGTTATTTTGAAAATATGTAAAACAGGTCAGACTAAAGATAAATCATTTCAAGACGAAACCATAGAAATGTTAGAGACGCGTCGCAATGATTATGTTGATGAGGGGAATTAAAGGCTATCTATAAGTAAAACACAGAAAAAACATATGAATACAACTCACGATCTCTCGAGCAAATCCGTTGTCGTTATTTTACACTTTTACTTGGCGACCAAGCTCCTCGTTAATGTTAATCAAGATCCTGAATACTATATTTGTTTCTTTAGTAATTAGTCTGGATAGTTACTGAGTGATATGCTATATTATTAAATTATTTGACTAGTAATTGAACAGTTTCAGAATGCAGATATCTAGGTAATTTCAAAGAATAAAGTCTCTTTTTTTTCAAAGTGTTCGAAAAAACTCTAAAATAATAAATATGTTATAAAATAAATGTAAATTTGTTTTCTTTTTAAATTCTATAAATAATAATACATCTAAGATATATTTAATGAAATATAAAATAAAAAATAATATTTTAATAATAAGGACCGTTTTATTAATGGAAATGCAGTAAGAATAATTCTTAATTCTGGTACACAACTTTCTTCATTTGATATAGACAATTTTGGTTGCCTTTAAATGAAACCAAACAATCAAAATCAAAATTTACGTACATTGGTTTTTAGCTTATCATATTAAGATAACCCAGGGAGGGTCACAGTGGATTGTATCGGATGAAAATCGCAAGCCGTCTTTTTTAAGTATAGAAATCATAACATGTGTGTTCGCGTATGAAGTACTTTGTATGCAGTGCAGGCTTACTGCAGTTATTTAGGCTTACTTTGCTAAATTTGCGTTTGAGGATAGCTGATCGTGCAATCTTGAGGAAGAAAATGTTGTTATATCTTTTATAAGGTTTCTTTGTTTTTTGTCCACTTTCGGTACATAGGTTCTTTGTATCTTTTATAAAACTTTGATCCTTTATACTTTCTTACGCGGATTTCATGTTATCATTTAAATTGCGTACTTTTTATGTTGAGCAGTAGTTTTTAGTTAGTATTTGTTTTATTACTTATATTTTTCAATCTTCTTTCGTTTATTTTATACTCGGCTCGTGTCCGACTTCTTATATCTTTAGATCTATTCCAAGTCTTACGGTAATTGTTTATGTAAACAACTATACTACTGATTGCTGAGTTAAATATCTGATTTTGCTTGGAACTGTCTTGTTTAGTTGGTAATGAACTATTTTCTTAATTTTGGTCAGTTTCGCAGTGTCTTTCATATAGTGTACATTCCGTATTTCATCTAAGCTTAACCGAATTATTCGTACCATTAAATTATGATCGCTGAAGAAAACGACACCTTTAAATAAAGTTAAATCTAGGAACGATTTATGGTATATCTTATGATGGTATGGTATTATTGATAATAATGTGATTATACATTTAAAATAACTAAATTTTAATAGAAAGAGATTTATTGAAAATAGTAGGAATTGTAGTTAAAACAATAGTAAATCACTGAACTTTAATATCTTAGTTGTAATATCTGAAACAGGTGAAACAACTGTTTCTGTGTCTTCAACAATTTAATATCAACATAACGTAACATTGAATAAAATTTATTTAATATGGTTGACAAAAATACTAAGCGACCATTTAAATGAATTCCTTGCAAATTTGTTATCAAAATAAGTGATACGTACAAGATAATATCAATCTTGCTAGCTTAGTCAAAACAAGATAAATAAATTATGGGTTGTTATGGTATTATATCTATAAGCCTTTTATTCATATATATCATTAGTTTGTTATAACTGTTGAAATTGTCTTTTAAAATTTGAAAAACATTGATATCTTGCTATTAAAAAATTAAACTAATGGGGGAATCTGTAAATTAGTGAAAAGATATATTAAAATATAATCAAGCTGTAACAGATATAACTAGCTTTTCTTAGTTTATTAATTTTTGATATAAATCTAAATATTATGTAAAAAAATAATAAAATGAAATTACAAGTTAGCACATTATTGAAAAATACAATTATTTTTATTATAAAAAAAAAAATTAATTATTTACGAACAAATTGTAATGTACATATAACCAAATGAAATATAACTTAAAATCAGTGCAAAACATTAAGAAATTATCACAGATTTATAATGAATAGCTTTTTAATTGTGTTTTTAACTAATTATAATTATAATTAAAAACAAATTTGAGTTAATAAATTAATTATATAAAATGAAAATAACATAAAAAAATTAAATCTACTATCGAGACAGGAACAGTGACAACTTTTAGTTTTGCAAAGTATTTGTTTTTTGTTCAAAACTTATAAAATAAATAATAGGAAATATATAAACAATATCAAAAGTTTTAAGTTTGATTTATAAACTAAAAGAAAAATTTTTTTTTTTTAAAAAGCCGTATTTTCCAAATATTTAATATATATGAATTTTATTTAAATTACCAAAATATTATAATTTAATTATATATATTGGCAGTTTTTTATTATTATAGAAAAACAAATTTTATTCAACAACTTACACTTTAATATGAAATTCATTAAAAGAAATTTTAAATTACAATTTTTTAAAAAAAACTTTGGGAAAGTTGAGATTTTATTAATTCTCAATATTTAGTTGTGAAAATACCTAAATGAAGTAATTTTATATGTGCAACAAAATTACTTCCTGTCATAATCAAAGAAAATTTCTACTTCAATGGAGTTAAGAACCAAACTATAAAATTGTATAGTTGATCTCTTTGGAGAATCCATTCTTATATTGTATATAACATGCACGATCTGATTTAAACAATGTACTATATATATAATTGCTAAAATAAAATTAAGTATACTCAATAAAGATATTTTGAACTAATAGAAAAATGTTTGTATTTTTATACACACATTTTTTTATATGTGTATATTCTGCATTCTGATTTGATTAAACAATTACTCTTATTTGGTTTCTGCTTAATAAAAATTAACATTTTTGAAACTTTCCTAATATTAATAAACATTTTCATCTTCAATATCTTCATCAAGTGTTTCATATAAATTTACTAATAAATTACCATACTTCCAGCTGTTTTCCTCTGCATAGTTTGGTGCAAAGTATTTATCCGAATAACGTCTCATTTTCAGCAATTGACTTTTTCCATCCACATAGATGCCATTTGCTATTAGCTTCTGTATGTATGTCACGTCGATATGATGATTTCTAGTTGAGTTAGGAAATTGTACTTGTAAGGAACTAAACTCTGCTTGTATTGCACTAATTATTTCATCCGATTGCTCACAATATTTACAAAACCATCCACCAAAGTGATTTAAATCGCCAATAATAAAAGCAGAATTGTTCTGCATACTAGCTTTGGTTATTAATTGTATAGGATCGCCATTACCCAGATGTGGATTGTCGAGGTGCGTAAAGAAACTTACAAGACTAGTAAGGTGGGTTTGTTTTGCGTGCTGCCAATAGAAACCATATACTGTATACTTAAGACGAAAACGTATATACTCCACTTCTGGCTTAGCATAATATTTAAGAAACTTTAGAGCACTCCTTGATATAATTTCATAGTCACTAGAATACAGTATTAAATCTGTTTCGTTTAAATTAAACGCAGACACTGTATCAACGCGTAAATGTTTACGAAACGCTGCATATGCACGAGCAGCTGTGCAACTGACTTCCGTGGCCTCTCGCTGAGTTATGTCTGATTTACAATGGTACAGAAAATAATTGCCACGCTTTAAAATATTTTTTACTCTACGTTGCAGCATTCTTAACTGCTCTAATGTTGCTTTATTATTTTTAAAATATATTATAAAGTAATCCACAACCTCGTTAACAGCTTGTATTTGTAGTTCCAACAAATCTAAACTAAAGAAATTTCCCTCCAACATATAAACTAAACGATGTGCCATTTGTTCAGAGGGTTCAATAAGTCTGAAAGGTTTCTTGGCAGTCATTAGAGCACGCCAAATAATTTCAGGCTGACCACAATCTTTTCCATGCCAGTTGGTTTGACATTTACACTGTGCATTTTCGAACCAATCTAACGACATTAAATCCACTTCTTGCTCTACTGAGTCTCCAACAACTCGGTCCATATTATGATTGGTTTCATTTACGCTACCTTCGCGATAGCACCAAACTCCTCCTTCAGGTGTTTTAGATTTATCGACAAGTGTTCGCATAACTTCTGCTGACATTATACTTTGTTTTAATATTGTTCCCCCGTTTACACCTATTAGGCCTACACCTGTTTTGTTCAGTCTGTTTGGTTTGAAAACAAAGTCTGTTGCAAAAATGTTTACATTATCGTTTAAATACAATTTATTTCGTTGCAGTGTATGTTGTGGCTTTTGTTGTTCTATCAATTGTTTTTGAGCTGCGTTGAACGTTTTTTGCACTTTGTATTTGGGCAATTTTAGTGCAGCGCTTTTAATAAAATTCACTCTTCCAGCTGCGAGCAGAACATCGCCCTTTGTTTGCTGCTGGTTGTCATTTTTATTACCGTTAGGAGCTGTGTATTCCTTTGTAGCTGTCGTTAAACTGTTATTACTTATGCTGGCGTTGAATCCAAGCTGTAGTAGCCAAAAACAACCAATGAAACAAATCTGCAACAGCACAACAACCCATAGTAGAAATTTTTTCGTTAGTGTACCTCTATTGTGTTGTACCGCATACGATACGAATGTGTTGTGCGTTGGAGCTGCCGCTATCAGTAATGGTACGTCATCCAAAGGAGTTGCAGCATGGCGGCTATTTGATGTGCGTACTGCATGTGTATGTGCCCCTCCGCTGCGTAAATGCATTGGTCATTTGTATGCTAAAGTTTAAAAATGAACTCACTTTTATTTAATTGATTCTTCACATAATCATAAATTTTTAAATTACTATTATATCTTTATATAAAAATTTTCACTTAGTTTGAAACGTGGGTGTATTTAAATTGAATGCTACTGGCATATATAAAACACACCCAAGAAAAACTCTCTTCTACTTCTTCACTGTCTGTTTGCCGAATGATATTCCCTTCAAGAACAGCTGCTCTTCTTTCTTCCTTGATTTGTTGTTTTTTATTTATTTATTTATTTATTTTTTACATATTTTTCTTATCTTCTTATGTCGTTCGTTAATACAGCATATGACATTAAGAGTTGCCAACAATTGCTTTTTTTGTTTTTTTTTTGTTTTTTCTTTTGATTTTTTTGTTTTTTTTTTGTTTTTTCTTTTGATTTTTTTGTTTTTTTTTTAAACATTACTTACAAATATGCATGTACACCACAAAATATTACGAATATCTATAAAAATTTTTTAAAATTTTGCATAACTTATTTAATTTTTACTGAAATTAATTTTTGTCTTCTGATTTACTTTAACCAAAGAAACAACAATAAAGTTCTAATATAAAAAATTAACAGTTATTCTGGTGTGGTGATGATTCTGGTAGTGTTTGAAGTTGCCTGGAAGCATGGTTTAGCAGCTAAATTCGTACGATCGCTGCTGTATGCTTGGAGTCGGAGTCCTGCCTTAAGTCCTAATATTCTGTCATTTTCTTTCAAATTTGTTTTTAGAATATTTAGATACCCATATTTATGCATTGTATCTTGCAAAAATTCAAGTTTGCCAGCACCATTACTTGCTATACACCCCAAACTAATACGCCTCTACCATATTTCACCGTTGAAATTAAGTTTTGTTTATCATTATCATAAATTTTCTTCACACAAGTTTGTTATCTTTGATTCCAAATATGGAAATCAACTCTCATCAGAGAAAATAACTAATTTTCAAAACTTCATTATATCTGGATATGTATGGCTTCTTTCTTGCAATCCGGGTATAATACATGCTTTTCTTCACAATTTTCCGCACAGTATCAGAACCTATTTCTTTTTCAAGTATTTCGGCAATATGTTTACCTAGTTTGAAGGCGGTTACTCTTGGATTTACTTTCACCTGGTTGATTATGCTGCGTCTTTCTTTATCTGACAAAATTTAATAGTTATTTGTCGCTGACTAACACTAATTTCACGTCTTTTATTTTCCATTGTTAAATTTTACTGTTTATATAAAAAAATATTTTTAAATAGTTAATTCTTAGATTCTTTAAGAAGTCAACTGATAATTATTGATCATTTAATAATATATTTATGCTTGCAAGCAAATTTAAATTAACGGTAAATGTAAATATTAAGAAATATCTGTAGACTTTTTTGCTTCAAAAATTGTTGCATTTGCATATAATTGTGTGTGTTTTTTTTTTAAAGAATAACTGTTAATTTTTTCTTAGTTTGAACTTTATTGTTGTTATTTTGGTTAAAATAAATCAGAAAGCAAAAATTAATTTCAGAAAAAATTAAATAAGTTATGCGAAATTTAAGAAAAATGTTATGTATATCTGTAGACTTTTTCTGCTATGTGTATGTATATATGTGTATATTATTAGCGTTTTAACATTTGTCTAGGACAATTTTTTTACATGATTTACCGTCAAGTTTTTGATAAACTAAATAGTTTTGATTCGTTTTACATGTAATTTATATATTTAAAAATTTACTATTTATATTTTTCTCTTTGCAGATACCCATCGCAAGTATTTGTTGGCGATACTTACTGTTACTTTGCTGGCATGACATTTGCAGTCGTTGGAATATTAGGACACTTCAGCAAAACATTAATATTATTTTTCATACCCCAAATTTTAAATTTTCTATACTCAATTCCGCAACTTTTCCATTTTGTACCTTGTCCGCGTCATAGACTGCCAAAATATGACTCAAACACTGATTTATTAACAATTAGCACTGTAACATTCCGAGCAGAAGAACTCAATTTTATTGGCAAACAAATGGTTAATATATTTAGGTTTCTAAAACTGATTTCATGGAAAGATCATGCCGATGGCAGAATAACAACTAATAACTTTACACTTATCAATTTTGTCCTAGTCATATTTGGTCCAGTACACGAAAATATTGTCACCTACATGCTGCTAGGTTTGCAAGTCATCTGTTCGATAGTTGCATTTTTTATACGTTATCCGTTGGCAAACTTGTTCTACGATACATGAGTGCGATAGATAAGATCATGGATCAATTTTATTCAAGTTGATCCTTTTTTAATTATTTAAATGAAACCAAATATATAATTTTATTGTGTTTTTGATTGATTAAATTTTATAAAAATTTCGTGTATTAAAATTTTCTAATACAAACTTTTCTTTAAAATATTTTTTTAAGATTTATTTTTAAGTATTGTAACTCAAATAAATTTAAATGCAATTATTATTAGTTATTTATAAAAATTAAATTATAATACCATAAAAAGGATTCATATATAGAAAACAAATAAAAACTTTACATAAGAAATATTTATAATGAGCATGTAACAGTAAGAATACACTATAACAATTAACATAACATATGTCGAATGTGGTACAAATGGAGCATTTAATACAAAATCCTTTTATATGGAGCTCATTATCAATAAATGTGCTCATTTAAGGCGAAATGTCGAATGCAACCCTAAAAATAAATTTCCCACATGAGAAATTACCAAAATTTGAAATATGTGTCATGTTTTATATGTAAAATGTGAACAAACAACAGATTAGCTATAAACAAAGGTACTGACGATGTAACTATTTAATAAAATCCTTGTTTTTATTAGTTGAATATGTAATTGATATATAAAATGTATTTAAATGATCTAATATATCAATTATATATTTAATTTTTTTGTGTGATATATTATTAAGTGAACTTCTATCAGCTGTATAAATGAGCTCATTATAGACATTCACTCATTAATATAAATGAATGGCTAAATGAGACAGCGTGAATGTAGTATTATTTGGTATTCAGTTATATCCATATTTTAACCTGTAATGAGATCAATGAAGGAGGCATGGCAGACCAACTGAGAAGTAGTCTGCTAAAGAGTTAAAACGATTTAATTCTAACGAAAATAGTACTGGTCCATCAAATAAAAAAAATAATCCGATCGGCTGTTTATAGTTGAATTGAAAAACTTACGAAATTGTCAACCTTTTTGGTTATATAATAGGTGTAGTAAAAAGAAATCCATTATTTTTCACGGAATTGAAGGCTTATTTACCATAATTAAAATAATCCGATTTAGGTCAAATATGCGACGTTTTGTTCGATAACATGTTACCTTTTTGAAAGTAATTTCATTATACCTCTCTCATAGTAGTCATCGTCCCTATTGGCAAAAAATTAAGGCAATCGATTTTCACAAGCCTCTCACAGCGAATGTTTCACCAGAATAATCGTTCGCAATGGACAGAAACAGATGGTAATCACTTGGTGCCAGGTCTGGACTATAAAATGGATGCATAAGAACTTTACAACTAAGCTCCCGGAAATTTTGGCGATTCATTATCGATGTGCGTGGCCAGGCGTTGTCCTGATGCAATATAATTCCTTGTTAAATAACTTGGCTAAAATATCTATCCTTGACTCAACAAAAAGATGGCTTTGTAACTATCTTATAGGCAGATTATGCTTTGTTGACTTTGGAAATAAAATGTCAAAGGTTGAATTGAAGCAATTGCAATTGAAGCAATTTCAATTCATATATGTCTAAACTCCCAGACTCCCTGAGGGAGACAGAGTCATAACATATGCAGATGATTGCACAATTCTAACTACGTGCTAGGATCACTCTATATTGTGCAAATATAAATATATATCTCCCCTCTGCAGCATCGTTTTTGGATAATAGAAAATTTCACCTATCACCAAAAAAATCCTGTCACTCTCTTTACTTCCTGGACTAAAGAGCTATCTATAACTCTGACCATAAATAAATACAATTTTTTAATCCTTTATTTACTTCAATAAAAGGGATATATTCAGAACATTTACACTGTAGCAATTAACTTGTTAGTGTCATTCGTTCATATCCGATATTTATAATGTAAATATAACATTACTATATACACTAGCATGTGTTTCTTAATGTATCTCTGGAAACTAAGATCTTCAACCAACGAGTAAGAATGTGTATAAGCTTTAAATTCTACTTTAACTTATAATTTTTTTCATTAGGAAATAGTAGAAGCAATATTACAAACACAAAGGAACTACAAATCAGTTGTAAAGTTAAACCCAAGCATGGAAAATGCAAGTAAGCTCTCTGAAATACAATATACATATATTCTACTGTTCATATAAAATAATTATATATTCTTTATTTACGAAGTTGAATTAAAAAATTTTTGACATTGAAGATGTTTTTTACCAACATGTACCAAAAGAATAACGAAAAACTGAAATAGCTATCAAGCCCGCACTTCTTGTTTCAAGTGAATTGTGTTTCTGTGTTCTGTGTTTTCTACTCCTTGTATTTCGGTTTTATTTCGGATTTATTTTTTTTCTTAATTTGTTCTTCATTGAGAAATAATAAAAACGCACTTCAATGGTGGAATGGCGAATTGCAGTAAAATGCAGTTTTTATTATGTTTCCACTCAACACTTTTTGATCAAGAAGACATCATCAATACTTGAATTAATTTCTTTAACAAAAATATAGAACATAGATACATACATACATATGTCATAACAATAAAAAATGTTAATAATCTGTTCTTTTCTATAGCAAAAAAAAGGTTTAGGTGTAATGAAAAGCATACACAACGTAGCCAATTCGTCCGCTTTAAACATTGTACTTAACACAGTTGAACGTAAAGAAAAAAAAAAGCAGAAGGCCAAAAAACAAATATGGTAGATTAGCGATTGAGGGTAAAGTGGTTTACTAACCACTTTCTCATAGAAAATTCTACGTGTACAACAATCCAGCCTAATCTTCTAGTATCGAAAAAAGTAAGATGTCTGTAAATAGTTTTTTGATAAATTTAACAAGCGAGTAATACCATACTATATATGGAGAAGCCTTGACATAAACGGAGAGCGTTTGGCTTGACTCCATGTTTTGAGAACATATCACTTCTAAAATGAAACAATTCAGCACTTCCACTTGTGTTTAAAAAATTAAGATGTATTTTAATAAAATGTAGTAATTAACTTGATATTTTTATTGATTTTTAAACCTTATAATTTTTAATCTGTAAACAGAATTCTGTTCCATTTAACCAGCGATCACTTGGTTTTGTGATATCCATGCTACAAATGAAGACACTTTTACATAAACCGACGGCGAATTGGCTTGACCGCATGGTAACTTGCCCCACGAAACAATACCAATCAGCACGTTGTTCTGGACAAGTGGTCCACCTGAGTCAGAGGTACAAATACCGATACCACCGGTTAATGGTCCAGTGCAAATATTTGTGCTATGAACATCAGTGCCTTTAGCACCCAGAGCACTTTCACAAGATGACAATGATATAATGGGTATATTGGCAGCTACTTGTAGTTGCGTTGGATATGATGGTACCGATGTAGTGGAAGTACTGCCCCAGCCATATAAATTGGCACTACCAGTAGGTGTAGATCCACTGGCTGGCAGCGAAATAGCAGCAACTGCAAATCCAAACGTAAATGCTGTCGAAGTATAAACCAAACCTATATCATAAGGTGCAGTGCCTCCGGTATACAAATCATTTATAACATATGAACTAATGGCACGCTTCTGTGTAGTGCTGGCTGTTCCGCCAACATTGTTACTGCCCGCCACAAGGGTGCTGCTAAGCACTTGTGATTTGGAAGTAAGGCAATGCGCTGCAGTCACAACCCAATTTACATTCAATATACTTCCAGCGCAGTAATGTACGCTATTTTGCTGTAGCGAAACTATATATGGAGCTGCGTTCGTCGCTGCAGCGGTGCCACCAACAACGCGTCCCGATATTTCTGTGGCTGCATCGACACAACTTATGCAGTAGCAACCGCAAGTTAAGAACCAGGCGAGTTTTAGCAGCAACAAAAATGCTCTCTGTTTTGTCGATTTTAGTTCCGGTCTGTAAGGCATGATGAATGATTACTAACTTGAGCAATTATCCAAATATCGCAATATAAATATTAATTTTATTTTCGTAAATACTGATAATTTTATATTATACTACGTAAAAAAAAATAAAATATTAAATCAAATTATAATTAAATTTAATTAACTGTACAGGCAACCCGTCTTCTGTTATTGACAGCGACAAAAGATAGAGGGTTTTTCGCAGAACAAACAAGAAAGTCGCCTATACTTAGAGATATTTTCAGTATTATTTTCAGTGGCGTATTTATAATAAAGCGTTTAATTATTTGATAATGGCAAGAGGCACTAAAAAATAAATTACTTATTTATTGCCAATACCATCGACTTTCTCTCCAACTGAATGGTAGCATTCAAATTCCAAGGTTTCTTAGGTGTCTTATTATGACATTTTAAACTTTATTACAGTGAATTATATATTATTAAATATCGTGACTTCTATTGACACAACAGTATCAACACAAAATCTTTCATTTATGAATTTGTTTATATATTTTGGAATAATCTGTATAAGTCTTAAGTACGCACAAATGTGCAAGAACTGTTTCGCAATAATCTATTGGTGAAATTCCTTAAAATAGACTTCATTGGAAAAACTATATTTTAGGTAATGGTCTTGAGTTTAAAATTTATTTTTTATTGTAAATGACAAAAAAGGAAAAATCAAATTAAATCAAAATTAAAAACATTCAAACATTATATTTTCTATAATAATATAATTTCTATTTAGTATAGAAAATAATAAATTATTCATTATATGTCATTCTATTATAACACTTCAACAAAACAATGAAAAAATATTCACTATATTTCATTTTAAAACTTACATATATACTTACATGTGTTAATGGAGACTGACGACTATTTCTATAAAATGGTCTGTAAGGAGAGCATAATAAAAAAAATAACACTAAATTATTCTCAGAAAATTTAATTAACAAAATCTCATTTGAATTTTTTTAATAGTTATAACTACTTAGAAAAAAGACTCCTATAAAACAAATAAAAATTAATTTATATAATATTAACATTATATAATATTAAATCTGAGGTATCTAATTTAATATCTGTCTTTACAGGGCACTGGACCATAGAATGGCATGAAGCTAGACTTGGCCTACCCTCTGGTATCTCCTGTAGTGCGTGTCTACCAGCTCTCTGTCTACCAGCTCTGGCCAGGTTTGACCAGAATTAGGCTTAAGTTTCTGGGGGCCCCTTCCTTGAACACACTTGGCGATATCTCTAGCATTAACATTGGCCAAATTCTTGCCTTTACAAATGCCTCTGGCTGGTTCTAGCTTGACCTTCACTCTACTACCCTCTATTACGAGGTTTTGTGGATTCAAAACTGTTTAGCTAATTTTTAGCTAATTGAGGAGGACTTGTTCCTCCTTTCACCACAACTAACTAACTAACTAACTATTAAAAACCCTGTGCAGAACACGAACAAATCATAGAAGCCAAGTGTGTTTTGTCTGTTCGATTTCCGATAGTCCTTAAAATAATAAGTTGAGAAATTTCCTTTATTGAATTTTTGTTGCCATTTTTTATTCTTATTATTTATAAATATAAGTCTTTTCATTATCTATTTTTGATTATTATTCATTAATACATAAGAAATCAAAACAAATGAAAAGAATTACGAGATAAGTATTAGATATGTTATTGTTGCTATTATTGTAGCCGGGGTTACCCTTGTTCCTGGAGACAACTTCTTAGTTTGCCTATAGTAAAACTTTAATATCAAAGCGCTTCAAAGTCCTGCTGTAATACCAAAAGTTTTTGAAGTCATAAATAACTTTTTATTATGGTAAGTGTTATGATAAATTACTAATTCTTAATTTTCCAATTACGGGACATTAAGAAAACTAATTATCGCAACTATGAAAAATAATTTAAAAATATAGTGCTATAGTGAACTTTATATTGTAGCATAGTTACAAGCATGGGTGCCTTACAAGCATGGGTGCCTTACAAGCATAGGTTAGTTGTACCTTTTGAATAATATCCTAAACCAGATAGCAACCAACTTCCTAGTTCTGATCTAAGATTCAAAACTGATGTCTGATTGCCAAAAATAAATTGCAGGCATTTCGCACCTGTTTTACTTATCTCAATACAGAATTTAATCTTTTTATTAAAACTAATTTCTTATCAGACATAAAACAGTAAGCTGAAGTACTTCACAAGCGGTTAAGATAAACAATTTTTATTTAAAAAACTACCGTCAAAGATAAACGGGGAAGTTACAGCCGTTAAAAGTTGTTGGGGGCTATTGTGAAATGCAACAGTCGCTAAAATTTTCACTGATGGTTCATATATAGACAAAAGTTTCGAAATTTTGTGTTAATAAATAAAACATTACATGATATATTATTATGCTATACACCTAAATATATTTATCTTTATTTATATATACACACATGTATATATTTTAAACTATGGACATCATTCGAAATTATCAACAAATTGGTTAATAAAAGAAATTTAAATGTGTTTGGTAATTTTTTTTATCATTTAAATACTCGCATAAAGTACTAATGGTATAAATTATAAGTATTAGTTTGTCTGTCATATTTGAACTAAAGCCAATGACATTTCTGAAGTACCTGGAGAAATATACAGAAAATATAGTTAGATAAAAATGAAATAGTAAAACAAGAAACTAACTGACTTTATCTATACTTATAAGTACTGCTCTTTATATTACATATAAACTTGATATAATAATGTCAATGAAATACAATATATTAAAAAGATTTCAACACTTTTCTGCTATCATATATTTTTAATATGAATCAAAAAACGTATTAAATGGGCTATATATTGTTACGAAGACACAAGAAAAAATTTTTGATATAATGAAATCGTACTCAGTTAAAACCAACAATATTTTATTATTATTTGAATTTTACATCTCAGCGGGTGTTATTGCTGGTATTCACAAAATTCCGGATGGCAAGCATCAAGGAATGCTCTGTTGAAGTGTAGTCTATGTTCTACACCTATTATATTGTGTTGGTCCTTCTAAAGAATGTTGATCGTTTCCCTCACCACTGTACATGGATGCAACAAGACGTATTTCTGCATACTATTTATTAGTAGTTTAGAGAGTTGAAGCATGTCCATTAAGTGTGTGAGAATTTTGGGTACTATTCCAGTGTCTGATAGTATTATAGGTACAATTACCACTCGCTGAAGTCTCCAAATTTCTTTGATTTCCCTAGCCAGTGGTATATAGTTGCTCATCTTTTCTGCATACTTCTGCTCAATGTTGCCGCTATGCGGTATAGCAACATCAATCAGGTATGCTGAATTATTCCTTCTATCAACCAATAGGATATCAGGCTTATTTTGTGTTATTGGTTGATCTGTGTAAACTTATCGATCCCAGTACATACGAAAATTGGTGTTTTCTAGCCCGCAGTGGGTTTATATTGGTAAATTGGACAAGTTTTAGAGATCAATCCATCCATGTAAGATTTTGGTGGATTACCTTACATACTGCATTGTACTTGTTTAGATATTTCCTTGTTGCCATTGCAGAATAGCTGGAGATAATGTGATCCAATGTTTCTGGGACTGAACCACATTTCCGACGCAAGTCATCCTCTACTAGTTCTTTAAAAATATGTTTGCAATAATTACGAGTAGGGACCACGCCATCCTGTATCGCGCACACAAAACATTCAGTTTCACCAAATATGTCCCCTACACAGAGCATTTGTTGAAGAAATACAAACCAATAAATGGCTGCCAAAGGTAATTCACATTTTTCTATGAAGAACCTTTGATTTCCATAAATCAATTTTTTGCTGATCAGGCACAACCAAATCTGGAGGACAGAATACTCTGTTCTTTAGGTCAAATGGACTCAGTTTATTATTTAAACCACAGATAACCTTATGCAAGGACAACTGAGCTCTTTGTCAATAAAATAAGTGCGTAGTGAGTCGACTTGTTCGTAATATAGTCTTGTTATATCGAGCACTCCTCTACCACCAATATTTCTTGATAGATATATCCTTTCCACAGCAGATTTTGGATGATGCATGCGAAAGTCGCACATCAAAGTTCTGATTTTGCGTTGAATTGCTTCGAATTTCCAATTTAATTATTTTTTAAATTGCTCTCTTGTACTTGTGCACCTTGCAATATACCTAAGTACTTATAAAAATCTGTTTCAGTCATGGCTTGAATATGCAAATTCTCAAAGCCATGCCCTTTGAGCGACTCATGATTCGACATATCTCCAAAAAATATTCCACCCAAACGTCTTTTCTAAACATATCCGTGAGCCGCAGTAAACTTTTAAGATGTAAACTTTTAATTTCCAATTTACATTTTAATGTCATCAAGATACATTAAATGACTCATATCACACTTGGTGCTGAGCACTCCATAATTGATGGCAAAGCCGTGTCCTTATCATTTTTTAATAACCATGAGAGAGGGTTTAGTTAGTTAGTTAGTTGTGGTGGAGAGAGGATGAATCCTCCTCAAATAGCTAAGGATGAAAGGCGTTTTGAATCCACAAAAACCTCGTAATAGTGGGTAGTAGATAGAGGGTCAAACTAGAACTAACCAGATGCATTAACAAAGGCAAGAATCTGGCTAATGCTGATACTGGAGATATCGCTAAGTGAGTTGAAGAAAGGGGCCCCTAGAAACTTAAACCTAGTTCTGGCCAGACCTGGTCAAAAACACATCAGGTGTTCTGGTGTCATTTCTTCAATTATTGGTAGACACGCACTACATGAGGTACCACAGGGAAGGCCAAGTCTAGCTCCATGCCGTCCTATGGACCAGTGACCCGTAAAGACAGATATTTGCTTAGAAACCTTAGATTTGTTTCTACACATTAAGTCTGAGGTTCTATATTTGGAATAGATGGGCCAAGCTGGCTGCTGAGACAGTAAGGGTCCACTCACTATTTGCCTGTCGCAAAAAATGGTCACAAATCAGCCAACGCCCGTAGCTGACAGGGGCAGGAATCGAAATAGGGGTATCCGTGGAAGAGGCGCCTAGCTTAGCAAGCTCGTCAGCGCGCTCATTTCCCACAATATTGGAATGTCCGGGAACCCATAC